TTTTACCATACAAAAGCAGCTCAAAACAGCGCACAGATGCATATTAACGTCAAGATGATGTTCCAGCCCAGTTCCTATAAGTACCTGTCTCTGTTGAAAATAGTTTGCCGCAATTTAAAAATGATGCTTAATCATTTTTAATCCTCCCTATAGCAGCCAAACGCTGTACGATATTCGGAGAGAAAATACTAAAACTTGCTCGAATTTTTCAATTTGGCACCCATAGATTCTCTCCCACCAAAGCTTACAATCATGCCCCAGTCACTTCTACTTACAAATGATTTTGAGGTAGGTTTCAGCGCTCTCCTTCTGGCCACGAGACTTCTAATACTATCTAATAACAGAAACCGCAAAAATACAGCCGCAACAATGCATGTTTCTCTTCCACATTCATAAACGCAATTAACTTCGACCGTTTGAACGCATGGTATAAAAGTAGTGATGTAAGAGTCCAGAAGAGAAAATATAAAACAAAACTAACAGTTTTAAGTACCATAAAAGAACCTTTCTAACGATATCTCACAGTTTATCAAAGAAAAAACGTTCAGGTATTCGAAGTTAAACGAACGTATTCATCATGAACACTTCATATGCCACAACCTCTTAAATAACACCCATCAACAAAATTTTAAGTGGAAGGCACAAAATATTCAGAGATAAAAGCTACGTCTACAAATTCTTCATTATAAAGAATAAAAAAATGTAGCCAACAAAAATAAGTCTCATATACAAAAACATCGAATTAATAACGTACCTGGATCAAAAAGAATAACTGCTTGTAAGAGAACATATTCTACCCTAGTCATTTGCATTTTTCGAATCGGCACTAATATATGATTTATAACGGCCACTACCGTCGGTATTAACCCACTAAAAAGCAACCGTGAGAGGAAATTTTTCAATACAAACTACAATTATTTTAAAAATAACAGTTTAAGATAATAAGCACTTTACAAGCCAAAGTAACTTAAGAAATCACCTTCTCTCCTTGAGAATATTTGCGGAGAGATTTCTAAAACCGGCAAGACCATCAGGAAAGACAATTCGATCGGTGTACTTTTCGTTCGTATGGTAAGCTTCAGAAAGGACCAAATTAGAAAAAGCTGCATGAACGATCAACATTTGCTAAAATAATTTGTTGCACAAAGCCAATTTGAAAGTCATTATTTTTAAAAATATACTGTTTAAATATTAGGTTGCACTACTGTCGATAGCAGTTCTAGTGCAATCTCCAAAATGTATAACAACGTCTAGGAGTAAAAGCAGGCAGCGATGAAAAGAGACAGACATTCCAAAAATCTAGCAAACTCGACTTTCACACTAAAAATCTCTATTTCCTGAAATTATCACCTAAAAAA